ACCATTAGGGAAACCAGGTGAAGTGTACACAGAATCTCTCTATATTATTTCTGACAACCACATGTAAATGTACAGTTATCTCAAAATCAAAAATTAAAAAAAAAATGTCCAGGAGCTGAAAGTGTAGCTCAGTGATAGAGAGCTTGTCTAGCATGTTTGAGATAAGGGCTCTGGACACAATCCTCAGCACTAAAAAAAAAGCCTCAGGCCTGACATTGAGTTCTGAGGGATGAAGCATGGGAGGGGCTGAAAGGAGCCATGGGTCATTCAGAGACAGAAAAAGATACTCTTGGTCTTGCCTCCTCACCCCCCACTTTCATTCTGGGATATTGAAGTCTGCGTATGTGCACACGCATACCACAGCACAGAAGAAACAATTTAAATGCTGAATATGTCCATAGAGATTAAGAGCCTTGAGGAATCATTTTTCTTGTAGTTTACATACATTAAAGCTCACTCTTTGTGATGTGCAATTCTCTGGGTTTTGACAAATGCATGGAATCATACATGCACTACCCCGGGACTATACAGAACTGTTCCATCACCTAAATATTTGCTTGTGCATCCTCTTTGTAGTCAGCCACACCCTTTCCACCAATTCCTGGCAACCAGCAATGATGAATTAAATTCTACAGTGTAAACTGAATTCTAAAAAGGTAAAAATGTGGGAGAAGGTATTGCAGACAGATAGAACACTGAGAACAAAAGAACAGAGACTGTTTTTTTGAAAACCCATAAATCAAAGCCAGGGCTGGGGGTGTGGCTCAAGTGGTAGAGTGCTTGCCTAGCAAGTGCAGGCCCTGAGTTCAAACCCCAATCCTGCCAGAAAATAAAACTCATCATCATAATAATAACCCAAAGTCACTTAACACTGGGCCTCAATGATTTCATGAGATATTGTGTGTGGACTGTAAATGTTGATTGGTTGGTTGGTTGGTTGGTTGGATAAAGGACTGTGCAATAATAACCAAGTCACTTAACATCTCTAAGTCTCAGTTTCCTCATCTATAAAATGCGAGTTGCTCAACTCAGGGTTTATTTGTTCATTCATTCAGCAAACATTTCAAGTGCCTACTGTATGGCCATTACTGTTTCAAGGGCTAGGAATATAGTACACAAGGAGGCTGGCTTATATTATAGAAGACAGACATGCAACAAACATAAAGAAATTATAAAGATCATGAGAAGGAGATAAGAACTTTGGAAACAGCTGAGCAGGATACTAGGTATGCAAGTGTGGTGGGGGATTGTACTTTAGGGTGTTCAGAGTCAGTCTCCACAGGAACATTAGTGCCAGTCCTGAAGGGTTGAGGAAGCAAATGGCATAGATGCTGGGAGGCCTGTTTCAGGCCAAGGTGGGAAGTGCCTGGTGAGCCCTGGGCTCCCAGAAGAGCCAGAAGGCCAGCAAGGCTGGAAGGAGTGAGGGCAGAGTAGAGAGAAATGGATCAGACAGCTCACAGGGGCCAGATGGCCTAGCATCTTGCAGGCCATGGTGCATTTGTTCTTAGTGAAATGGCAAATCATCTCAGGGTTTTGAGCAGGAGAATTACATGATCTGACTTGCATTGTTGTGATGGTATTAAATTATTGTATTAAATATTAAAATGAATATTAACTATTTAAAAGGGCCTGGCACAAAGCCTGGAACATGCCTTATCTCCTGCCTTCCTGTGTCCATAAGAAAGGCATTCATTGACTTGTACCCAAGGGTCTGTGAGGCCTGGGGAAGGATCACACAGGCCCATGTGAGTTGCTGGCTCCCTCTTCTGGACAAGCCTGCTGGAACTAAGGCAGCTGGAAATGGTCAGGCTCTGGCCAGTTGCCCTGGGCAACTGGCTGCAAGGTGTTTGTCCTTATGCATGGGCCCCATGTGGCCTGCAGCTTGGCTCCAGACTTCCCTGACTTTTGATCACAAGTTTTCGGTGTCATGGAAAGAGATCTGGGCTTCAGAGGCCAAGGAGCCTGGAGCCCTAGTCCTCCTTTGCTACAAATGCTGTGTGACCTTAGCAGGTCACCGCCCCCCTCCCTCTGGGCTACCAGGCATTTTTCCTAAGTCTTAATGATATATTATGTACCCGGCACATGGGGAAAAAAATCTTAGTAAGTGTTCATTGAATCAGTGAATGAAGTAGAGGCTACCAGTCCTTTGGGTTGAATATTTAATTTATAGAAAAGTAGCGGGAGGGGGTGGAGTGGGTGGTAAGGGAGGAGGTGGGGGCAGGGGGGAGAAATGAACCAAGCCTTGTATGCACATATGAATAATAAAAGAAAAATGAAAAAAAAAAAATAGAAAAGTAAATAAAAGTGCCCAGTGGGTATTCATTCAAGATGTACTTAAATATTTAATGAGTACCTACTATGTACCATGTACTCTTGGGGTACTAGAGATATAATAGTGAATAAAACGGACAAAACTGTCCTTGGGCAGCTGACATTTTAGGTATTGAATCTGAGGTCACTGATTCATTTACATATTCACCCTGGGCAAGCTTGCCATAAGTGGAATGAGGGAGGGGATGAATGAGGCATCCAGGGGCATGGCTAGGAGGGCAGCTAGAGTGGACAGATGGGGTAGGAACGTGCCCACTGGGCCCTCAGTTCTTCCCACAGAGATCTGTTGGCCTCTGCAATCCTTCCTATTCTTCTCCTCAGATGGATCAGAATTGGCCTGGCCCTGGCCCTTGGGCCCTGTGGGAAGCCCATCTGCCTCTTCTTTCTCAATGTTCAGAGTCTTCTAGTTACTGCATCTTGGCCTTTTGGCTAAGATCAAGTGCCACATCTATTCTTATCAGAGTCTTGTAGTAGATTTCAAAGCATCCTAGGAGAAATTTGGCCATGGAGGCCATGTATGGAAGGGCGGTATATTGAAGATCTGGTCATATATGTACACGACCATATAACACCCAAACCTTTTTTGAAATGTTTTGTCAATTCCCTGGGTTCCCTGGGTCACTGCCAGCTCCAGAAGAGACAGGCTCAGGAAGGCTCTGCTCAGAGAATGCTGCCCCTCCAGGGGGAAGAGGGTGGCTTTGGCCTCCTCCTCTCTGAGGACAGGTAGTATAGTCACAGGTAACAGCTGTGCCAAGAAAGAAGAGCTTTTCTTCAGCATTGTGCCCCAGTGGAGGAGCCTCCCTAGAAGCAGTGAATTCTTGACACTAAGGACATACAAGAGAGCTTGAACACTGCCCATAGAAGCTGGGGTGGGGCTGGGAAGGGGATTTCTCTACTGGGACCATTGTCCAGGGGACTGCTGAGGTCTGATTCTGAGAGTCTAGGATCCCTACCTTCGCTCCACCCTAGTGACTAGTCTACCTAAGCTTTTCTTTTCTTCTCTTTTTTAAGATGGATAGAGGTGCTGCCTCCAAAACCTTACTCATGTGTTCTTTTACCTTTTGTGGGACAGGTGTGTACACATAACTCCTTCAGGGGAAAGAAGGAGCAAGGCTCAGAAACTTATCTACAGGGCTCAGCCCCCACTTCAGGTATTTGCCTCAGAGGGGCCAGATCAGATTTCAGGGCCCCAACTAGTTCAAGGATAAGAAGACCTTTATTTCCAGGTTCATATTTTGTGAGAGTCACAGAGTTTTTCTTTAGGTTGACCCCATTCTGGCACCGGGAAGAAAGAAATGACTGAGTCACGGGTGGCAAAACTGGAGTACTAAGGTGAACCCCCACCTCCCCTGGGACAAAGGAGGATTTGTTAGACAGAAGGTACAACTTGTGAACCAGGGCTTCATCAAGAGAGGGAGAAAGAGGACTGGCAGAGTGGCTCAAGCGGTAGAGTGGCTGTCCAGCAAGTGTGAGGCCTAAGTTCAAGGGCCAGTACCACAAGGATTTTGGAAATTTCTAGAAAAACCAGTTTGGAATGGCAGTCTAGGGACCTTAACACTAAAACCTCATTAGGTTTATTCAGCTGTAGACTGAGTTTTTCATCTTTTCAGTCCCTACCCTTTTCCCATCTCCTTCAAAGTAGAGTCCCTTAGATGTGGGAGGGCAATATGAAACCAAGGCCTACATTCATCCATCAAGTTTCCTAAATCTTTTTTTTTTCTCAGTACTGGGATTTGAACTCAGGGCCGTGTGCTTGCTTGGCAGGTGCTCTGCCACTTGAGCCACTCCACCACCCCAATTTTCCTAAATCTTTGACCTACCTGGAATATGTCTTTTGCAAGGAGTGATGAGAAAGACAACCTTCATTTCTCTCCCCAACACCCCTTGGTTACTCAATTGCTCCCAAGTCCTATACTGATTAATTAGGCCTTCCCCAGATTGAAATGTGTCCTTTAACATACAGAGAAGTCCCATATGTATGTTGGGCTTGTTTTATTCCATTAGTATGTTGTATATTTTCTCTTCACTAATAAACCTTTTTAAATTATTATGGCCTTGTAAGACATTTTAACATTTTATTCCATGATTTACCATTTTTCTTTCATAGTCCTAAAAACTCACCTCCCTTCTTTCCCCATTCTCTCAAAATTTCCCTTTGGAATTTTAATTGAGATTGCATCATTGCATTGGAATTACAGATAAACATACGATGAACATTTTTAGAGTGTTGAGCCTTTTCATCCAACCATAAATTTGGTCTTTACATTTTTCTGAGCATTAATGTTTTTCCTGAATTGGTCCCTGTACATAAAGGGGTCTTAGAAAGGGTTAATGGAAAGAGGCTGAAAGCTTCTTTGGGGGAAAGTACTGAGGGAGCCTTCCTCAAAGCCAGTCTGTGGAGGAGAATTGCAGTTGGTATGTCCCCCTCCTCCTGATCTGAGGGTGGGGTAGGGGGCTTAAAGGGGAAGGTCAGGAATTGGAACCTAAGTGAAGATACTGTATTTCTCCAACAAAAGCCCCTTGTCCAGTCCCCACCCTCACCCCATATGCTGCACATATACAGCAGGGCAGGGAGGCATGGGGGTCAGTCTGGCTGGGCTGCAAGGTGGCACGGTCCACCTCAGGGTAATGGGTGGTGTGACAGGGCCCTGGAGCCAAGGAGAAGGACAGTCAACACAGCAGGGGTCATGCAGGCTTGTGCTCATCTCTTTATTGTTCTGTCCAGAGCCCCTGCAGGGGGAGGGGCAGGCATGGGGAGGTGATGCCCTCCTGCCAGCCTAAGCCCACAATCTGCCTCTCTCTCTCCTCTCCTCTTCAGCATCTCACCCATCCTCTCTCCTTCTGCATTTCCTACTCCCACATCCAGCACCTTCCGGGGTTCCCTCTTGCAGCCCCTGCTTTCTAAGCCCACCCCAGGTCCCAATACCCTGTGGATCCCAACACCCTGCTCTGGGGCTCTCTCCAAAGTCAGAGGCTAGAGCCTGAGGTCAGGGAAGTAGGGGGACAGCATCATGACTTGGGCAGGGCTCCATGACGTAAGAGCCAGGCTCACCCACTTCCAAAAGCCAGGACTTAATGTGGGGTCTGCAGAGGTGGTTTGGGTGCTCCCTGGGGCTGGGCGAGATAGGGCCCATGAGGGGTGGTCAGTGAGGAGGGGTCAGAGGCTGTGAGGGGAGGAAAGTGGTTAGGTGCAGCATCCCAGGATGAAAGAGGCAGGTTTCAGGAGGCAGTGAGGATAGGGCCCGGATGTTATCTGAGGCTCTATGGCTTTAGAGCACCTCGTGTTGCTGCTGTGTGGCCTCACTGACAACCTGGGCAGGAAGAGAAGCCCAGTCAGTCCTCTCTGGCCAAGAGAAGCCTCAACCCCATGCACTTACTCCAGGGCAGCAGGATCTGTTTGCCCTTAGCCAGGTGCCCAAAACAGCCAGGCTGGTGGAAAACACCCACACAGTCCCCAGCAAAGATGAAGGGCCAGGCAGACTGCTCACCTCCCCATCCCGGGTCTCAATGGTTTTGATCATCACAGTCTTCTTGGTATGAACTTCAGAACCCCTTTGCTCAGGGCTGGTTTCTGTAAAAGATCCACCAAATGCTCAGCCCGATCAAGTCCTGGTCTGGGTTGCAGCAGGGGAGAGCCATGGCAGACTCCTACACACTCAAGACAGGCTTTTGACTTTAAGACCTCAGCACCTGTCCTTGAGCCAGCACCCAGCAGGTGGCTCTGGAGACCCCAGAGCCAGTCCCAAGGTTGAGACGGGCTCAGAAGTCAATAGACCGTAGGATGGTGCAGGAGGCCGGGGGACCCCTGAGATACAGACTGCCCAGCATTCATTTTCCCCATCCTTCCTGGCTTCCCGTCCACCCCTGGGCTCCAGGAGAGCCCTATACGAGTTTATATACTGGGACTCCCTGAGCCCAAAAACCCGGGCTAGAGGCACCCTTTTGGAGAACCTTTGAGGCCCCAGCCCTCTATAGGTCTCAGGATGAGCAGCTTTGGTGTTTTAATGAAAGTGAGTTGGAGCAGGAGTTAGTCACCCATTCACTGTGCTGATTCACCAGCCCTGCTGAGTCTTTGTTTCTTCAATGGGAAGACACTTGCCCTATTACAGCACAAAGCTATTGATCTGAAAAAACATCGAGTGATTTTACATGCATGATTCACATTTGGTGTCTGTGTAAACAACTAACTGAAAAGAGAGGTCTGAGTTTTGTAGGGTGGGTCAAATTTAGGTCATTGGTACCACAACTTTGGCGTTCATGAATCTCCTTAGCAAGCAACTAGCCTGTGATGAACGTTCTGACTCAATGGAGCACTGTGTGTATTTTTTCCTGATGGAAATGAACATCGAAGGCATAAAAGGTTTGATCTAGGAAAGGAGAAGCTGCCAAGGACTCCGATCTGCTTTTCTAATGTATCATTAGAGCGCATTTTTCTGCTCTCTGGGGTTGGAAAGCCACTCGATCTGCATATTACTAATGTGGGGATGGCAGAATGCCCTAAGAACTTGTTCTTTTCATTGTTTGGCTTTGCTAAGATTTGGCTTCCTTTTTCCGACTGTGCATCCAACATCTTATTCCCACAAACTGGAGGCGCTCAACAAACAGCCAGAGAGCATTTGACAACATGTCAGACAGACCATGGGCAGTGGATGTCATCTAGCTCAGAATGTGAGATGCTCTTACTGCCAGGCCCCCAGGGACACTCCTGGTACTTCCAGAGTTTGGGATTCAGAGCACTGCCTGCTTTCTGAGGCCCAGTACTCTAGGGGGTACATAAGATGTGGTCACTAACTATAATATAACACGATCTAATAAAAAATGCTCTCTTGCTCTCTCTTAGAAGGTACCTCATATGCCCATATGCCTCTGTCTATACTTCCCACCTACCCTGGCAGCCCCCTTTCTATTTCAGGCCTTCCCTGGCCTGACCCACGGTTTCTGTCCTCCCCATCTGGGTGGGTTTGGGCAGTGCCCAGGCCAGACTCAAGACTCCTGGTCCTTGAGATCCTACCTCCATGCTCAGCACACACTCACCTCGGAAGTTGAGAGCAGAGAAGGTCTGAATAGGGAGGTTGATCCTGAAAAGAAGAGAGACCAAGTCCCCAGACAGTTAGGAATACTCCCATCTCTCACTGTGACCACCCATCAAGGCTCACCCTGGTCTTCTCTGAACATTGTCCCAATCCCACTGCTCACTGTGCATAGGGCATAGGATCAAAGGCCACCTCTAATTGTCCCAGGAATTATCCTTTCTGGAAGGTTAGTTAACCCAGTCCAACCCTGACCTGCAGGCCTGACACTAGGATGCCCAACCCCACTGCACCCTCCAGGTCCCCAGCACTGCAGGAGGTAGGAACAGTAGCTGTGAGTAGCACCCACTTCATGCCCACCCTCCAGGCAGGCCAGTTCCACGAGCTGACTGTTTACCCCTGGTGCTGGAAAAAGGCAACATGACTCCAGCTACTTTAATGTCTACGTAGACTTTATTTTACAAAACCTGAAATCTCTCTTTATGTGCAAGTCCATAGCTAAACACATCTGTCACTTTTTTAAACCTCAGGTATTATTTTAATGACTATTGATGAGTGCCATCATTTGAAGGGAATTATCTTAAATTGAGGTTAAATTTATATACAGTGAAATGGAAAGATCTTTCATGTACAATTCAATGAGTGTTGATCAACTGATCAACGTCTGTATCCACATAACTAACTACCAGTCCAAATCCAAATACAGAATATTTCTATCATCCCTGAAGATTTTCTCATATCTCTTTTAGTTGTGTATTGCTACCTGTGTCTAGAGATGGGATGCTTTGACCACATCACCTGTGTCTTTTCCTTTGAGCATGAGTGTGTGTGTGTGTGTGTGTGTATACACACTATCTCTTAACCTATATGCAAAGCCTTCTGTCTTTTCCTGTCTCAATTAAGTCTCTAGCTACCTCCTCCCTTTCCTTCCTCATCATTCCCCACTCTGCTTTCATCTCTCCCTTGACTGGCAGTAATATTTTATTACTGATTGCTCAATATGATTTTATGCTGCTGGTTCTTAATTCTAAAGGTAGATAAGGGAATACTTATAGTTCTCGTTTTATAAAGGCTGTTAATTACACTGCTCTTTACCCAGGTGGCCTTGTTAATTTTCTGCAGTGAGCAGGCAGAAAGGTGGCCTCTTGTATAAAATTGTTTCTGGGTCTTTTTGAAATGATCTAGAGCAAACCTGATACCCCTGGCCCCTGCCTTGCCCCTCACCGGCTCTCCTCGCCCTCCAGTAGTTTCCGGTAGGTGGCAATCTCCACATCCAGGGCCATCTTCACATTGAGCAGGTCCTGGTACTCGCGCAGATGGCGGGCCATTTCATCCTTGAGGTGCCGTATCTCCTCCTCCAGGCGTGCGATATTGTCCTGGTAGCCACTGGCCTCACTAGCAAAGCGATCTTCCAGCTCCCGCATCTGCCTCATCAGGGAATCATTCTGCAGGGGTTGGAGGAACCCAAGTCAAGGTCAGGCTCAGAGCATGTCCAGAAATGAGGACACTAAGGGACCAGGATTGAAAGAGACACAGCCTTGGGGCTGGGAGGCAAGTCAGCTAGTTGGGTTCAGGAATTGCCAAAGCCTTCTTACTAGGGAACCCTGAACTCAAATGACGTCTTGTGTGGATACTCAGAGAATAAGCCATGTAAAAGGAATTTATGTTCAGTCTCCCCACTTCCACATAGGGAGACACTCCCAGGAGCCTTCTAATTCTTTAGTACCCAACTAGGAATCCACCTGTCTGGTTTAACTCCTGTTGTAAATATGAGGAGATGGAGGCCCAGGGAGGGTCTATGAGGGACCCAAAGTCACAGAGTGAGGGTGTGAGCTACAGACAGGGAGGGGCCGGACTCTTGCATGTGGACTCACAGTGCCCTTGAGGGCGTCAATCTCACAGGTGTAGGATTGGATCTGGTGTCGGTATTCCATCATCTCCTGCTTAGCCTGGCGCAGTGCATCATTGTTCTTGTTGGCTGCCTGGGTCAGGTCTGACACCTGAGAGCAGAGAGGCAGAAAAAGTGGCCCTGAGGGAAGGAGGAGCAGGATGCAGGTAGGGTGGGAAAGTAGCGTAGTAACTCCAAGCTCACCCTCCTCCATGAATGGAACCACAGGCAGCATCTCCAAACTGGGATGGACAGAGGTGCCCAAGTACCTGGGCAAGGCCACCCACCTTGGACTTGTACCACTCCTCAGCTTCAGAGATGTTCTTAGCCGCGATGCTCTCGTACTGAGCCCGGATGTCTCTGAGGGCGGCTGTGAGGTCTGGCTTGGACATGTCCATCTCCACCTGGACCTGCTGTTCTTGAAGCTGGGCCTGTAGCTCTCGGATTTCCTGCAGGATGTGATTAGGCTTCAGACCCTTTCCAGGCCACCTAGAGCACCCTTGAGCCTCTATTCCTAGGGTCAGTCCCACTTTACAGATGCTTTCACCCCAGCCCAAGGACCACACGTACCTCTTCATGCACTTTCTTAAGGAACGCAATTTCCTCATTGAGAGATTCAATTCTGCGCTCCAAGTCAATTCGAGCCAGAGTGGCTGCATCTACATCCTGGAAGAGGTCAAGTAGCAAGGACAGAGTCAAGGACAACCCAGGTGGGGCACTGGGAGACCAGGAGGCAGGAGATTGCTGAGGAACCAAAGAGGACTCACCGCTCGGAAGGCAGCCAAATTGTTCTCTGCTTCTTCTTTCAGCTGGATTTCCTCCTGCAACCTGGCCAGAACAGACAGAAGGACAAACAGTTGTGGGGGAGGGGAGATAGAGATGGAGAGCCAACAGTGGAGAGGACAGTGCAGACTGACAGGGGGCTGATCAGGGGGTGGGCTCAGAACACAGGGAGAAGACCTGCCTGCTGGGTAGAGACAAGAGGCCCAGAAAAGGAGTGGCAGAAACCCTGCCACTCAGGGAGGGGAGAGGAAGTGTCCCAATCTCTCCCCTGAACCCACACCCTTGAAGTCTGTGTCCCCACCAGCCTGTGACCTATCAGGGGTTGGGAACTGTGCCTATTTTATCCACCCCTGTGTCTGGTCCCCAGATTGGCTCATGTAGCTGCTCAATTATTGTTTATGACATTGGAGGCAGGAGGGTGACTCTACTCACATGGGTAAGCAGAGGCAGGACCCATGGATAATCTATACTCAGCCTTTCATATTGGATGTACCAGCTGGTTCTCCCAAGCTTTGGGAGGGCCACAGTCCCTATCCATTCTCCCCTTTACTCAAGCTGCTCACCTTGTGAAACTACACAGCCTCAGCCAGGCCCAGGGGCCAAGCTCCCTTCTCCTCTCTCCTCCCCTCCCCAGAGCCCCATTTCTTGGCTTCCTGCCCCTGCCCTTCCCAGTCTCCTATCAGCCTCCTGTCTCTCTTGCTCTGTGCTTGGGAGGTGGGGGTGGGGGGTGGGGGGAGAGGGTTTACAGCCCTTTCTCCTCCCATCTGGGCACTTCTAGTCCAGCAGCTTAGGATCCTTTTTAAGGTGACCGCCACAGAGCACTGGGCCTCCCAAAGTCTCCCATTTCTTTTCCTTGGCCAGTCTCCCCAGGAAAGCTCTCATGTTGAGAGGGAGCAAAAATTCTAGGGCCTATGTTCCCTTGAGGATCACCAAGGAATGACCCTCTCCAAGCATGGGGATGGGAAAGGATCCTTGGCCCAGGGAGGAGGGTGCTGACAATGGGGCCCTCTTCCCTGCCTGGAGGGTGGGAAGAGGCAAGGGATCTCCAGGCCCTCACTTGGCCTTGAGCCGCTGCAGGTCATCGATCAGGTTATCTCGCTCGACGTCCACTCGGGCACGCTGGTTGGTGAGCACCTCCACCTGACGCCGTAGCTCACGCATCTCCTCCTCATACAGCTCGGCGACGCGCGTGGGCTCGCGGCCCTTGAGCCGGTTGACCTCCGCAGCGAGCGCGGCATTCTGCTGCTCCAAGAAGCGCACTTTCTCAATGTAGTTGGCAAAGCGATCATTGAGCTCCTGCAGCTCTACCTTCTCGTTGGTGCGTGTGGTTAGGAACTCCTGGTTCACAGCATCGGCCAGGGAGAAGTCCAGCAGCTCGCCCGCGCCGTAGGAGGAGGGCGCGGGCACGCGGGTCGCCCCCAGCCGGCTGGTCCGCAGCGACCCCAGGCCCCCAGCCCCGCCCGACGTGCGCGACACCTGGTACACGCGGGATGTCACCGAGCTCGAGGAGCCCTTGGTGCCAAAGCCTGCTCGAGGGAACACGGGCGAGCTCAGCGGGGAGCCGAGCGAGAAGCTCGGGGCCCCACCGAAGGTGCGGCGGTAGGAGGACACGCGCTGGCTGGACGAGTAGGCCTGGCTCATGGTGGCGACGTGGGCGAGGCTGGACGGGTGCACGGAGGAGGCAGCGGGCGGGCAGCCGGCTGGAGAGTAGATGGACGAGGGGAGACACAGTCCCTAGCCGGTCGGCACTATTTGTAGCCCTCCTGACATCAGCCCCCGCCGCCCCTCCCCTGACAGCTGCAGGATCCCGCTGTCCTGCCAGGAAAGGGCGGTCGCTGGAGCGGGGGCGGGGAGGCCAGCTCCCCCGCAAGAGGCCTGAGCCCCTGAGCTGCCGCTGCGAAAGCGTGAGGGGGCTGACCCGTTCGGGAAGGCAGCAAACAGGCACAGCAAGCATGTCTGGAGCCCCAGGACGGCCCCTTTCTGTGCTTGGGTACCTGCCTTGGTGACAGGGGAGCGCAGACTAGAGATTTCCATTTAGTTTGGGGTCCCCTTTGTTTCTCCAAAGAGAGACTTTGGGTCATTGCACAGAACAAGGCCTGTGCTCAAGAAAGACCCAAACCACTTTTCATCTAAAGACTTGGAATTTGCAGGGTTTGGATACACTGAAGCAAAGAGCAGGTATCACCAGCCAAGCTGGGAGGGGGCGGAGTTTCTAGGCAGATGGGGAGGGGAGGGAGGGCACATGATGGGCAGAGAGAAACCCTGGCCAGAGCCTGCCTACCCATACATGTCCACTGGCACTTGGGTTCTAACTCTGAGCCTCAGTTTCCCTCTGGATGAGTGTAGGCCTTCCTCTCCCCTCAAGTTTATAACCAGCAAGGTGATTTCCAGAAGGTCTGATGGGCTCTCAGTTTCCAATTGCTGTGTGCAGTAGCACCCCTGCGCCAATTTCTCCTGGCTCTTGTCCCTGGGGCCCCCTCACTCCCTCTCTGATTCATCCCCCTACTCACTCACACCACCCACACCCACCCACACCAAGGGTTTGTGTTTTGTTAGGAGCCGTGTGTCAACTCAGCCATCTCCCTGGCAGCAACAGCTGCCAACCCGAAATATCAGAGCTGGTATTTATAGAGGAAAATGCACGGGCCGTAGAAGCAAGGTACAGAAGAGGAGCTCTGGGAAGTAGAGGCTAGGCACCTGAGGAGGCACAGGCCTCAGATGGTCCAGGAAGGCTGGAGGTGACAAGCCCAATCACTTCCCTCTCCCACAGTGCTCCAGGACCCCAACAGGAATGAAGCCCTCAAAGGGCTTGCCCTTTTCTTCGCATTTCCTCCTTAACACAAGGCATTCACTGACACCTAAAGACATCCACACTTCTCCATGCACATTGGCCATGTCTCTACACCTCCACCTGGCACTCTACAGGCCTCTCTTAGGCCTGACCCTTCTGGAATGCCACCCCAGAAACAGAGCACTGGATTAGGAGCCAGTAGCTGGTCCTACCCCAGACCTGCCATCCCAGCAGAAGGAGTGGCTCACCTTCCTGAGCCACAGGGTCCTCATCCATAAAGCGTGGCTGGTCATCCTTACAAACCTACCCTATAAGGATCTGAAGAGGCCCAGGCAACAATAATGCACATTAATAATAATAATATCTTACACATACTGACCACCTGCTGAGTACGTCACACTGGAGACCCCCCAGTTCTTCAACATCCCCGTGAGGTAGGGACTGGTGTCATTCCCATTTTGTAGCTCAGTAAGCTGAAGCACTCTGACTCCAGAGCCTGTGCAGGGACCCCAGGTTGGGTGTGAATATTCCAGGTTAACTGTGAAGGACTTGGCCACTACTGTCTTTTCAAAGCCCTTCACATTAAATGCCTAATTTTTATTCAAGAGACAAGTTTATGAGGTAGATGGGGAGTTCAAGATATTCTTATCCAGCCTTCAAGTCAGTGCAAGCTGTTGTGTTCTGGTTATTTTTGTGTCTCAGTTCCCAATCTAGACTGTCAACTCCTGGACAATTTTAGAGGCTGTGTAGACACTTAACACATCCCGGGCAGCACTATCAGTTGTCATTGTCGTTCACGGTAACCTACAAGCTTTCTTGTCCATCTCTTTATTTTGTTGACAAATACTGTACCCCTCACCCCCTAAAGAATAGCTATGGAACTTTGATCCCAGCCAGTCTTATTTCTGTATCTCCTAACAAAGTGATTGGCTCACTGTGTTAGCCTGGGCTTGAGCAAGGCCAATCAGAATTCCTTCTGAATTTATAGATGGAACTGGGATTGCTAGACTGCAGTAGCCTGTTTCCTGCTCCATGAGGGAGTAGGGGGAAAGAGAAGTTAACATGTAGCCAAGAAACCTGGAGAGGAGGAACAGGCCTGGGAGCAGTCCTTGATTCCAGCCCTTCTAGGTCCTACTCCCTATAGCACTTTCCTCCATTTTGTGACCTCCCTCTCTGTCCTTCTTGGCCTTGGGCCAATAAGTCCAACCCCCCCCCCTTTTTTTTTTTAACTTAAGGCCCTTGGTGTTGGCATAGGCCACTTATAGCCCAAGGAACACAATTAATCCACTATAGGAGACCGCACACCCATTTCTATGATGCTACCAAGGATGACATTTCTGGAGTTCCTCACAGTGAATGGTTTCCTGACCACATAAAGAAACTGGCTTTTGTACTAAGCAAAGGACTCACTCAGTTCCTTGGTGAAATGAGGCAGAAAGCAAATAAATACCATCTATTCTCTAGTCAAAACCAACAACTAACAACCAGGCTTGGCTCTGAACCAATTGGAACTGTTTCCAAAATTCAGTTCCAGCCCTGAGGATTTGCTACCATGGAGGGCAGCAAAACAACACCCCAAGCCTGGAAGGCAGGTAAAAGAGGAACACTTCAAAGCGTGCTCTGAGTAGGGCAGCACAGCTGGAGTAAGAGTTCAGCCTCTGAAGGGGACCACTTAGGACTGAATGCACGAAAAATAATCGTGGTGTATCTGGATGGCTCATACACACAGTACAAAATGTGAGATGTGTGAAAAGGTATAAAGTGAAGAGTAAGTCTCCTTTCCACTTTGGGACATCCAACCACCTGCACCTTTCCTCCCAGACAAGTTTTAGCTTGCTGTTGTTACTGTTTTCTCCTTTCAGAGATACTTTGTGCATATATAAACACATTTGTATCCTCCACCCTCTTTCTCCTCCTCCCGTCCTTTTTTTTTTTTGGAGATACATTCTTGTTATGTAGCTCAGGCTGGTATCAAACTCCACATCCTTCTGTCTCAGCCTCTCAAATGCTGGGATTAGAGGTGTGTACCACCACACCCAGCTCTTTAAAAAATATATTTTATGAGCCAGACGTGGTGGCATACAATTGCAATCCCAGGTACTCAGGAGGTAGAGCTAGGAAGATGTCAGTTCAAAGCTAGCCTGTGGCGGGGCGGGGGGGGGGGGAGGGAGGGGGAAACAAGTGAGATCCTATCTCAAAAAAAACAAGTTGGACCTAGTGGTTCATACCTGTAATCCCAGCTACTAGGGAGGCAGATGTAGGAAGATGGAGGTCTAAGACTGGCCCTGGGCAAAACCTGAGAGGACTTGTCTTAAAAATTTAAAAATAAACTAAAGCAAAAAGGGCTGGGGGTGTGGTCCAAGTGGACTTAGCAAGCATGAGTCCCTGAGTTCAAACCCCAGTATCACTAAAAAATATATACCTATATATGTGTGTATGTATTGCACCAAGCTTTTTTCCATAAGCATATATCTTAAAAGTCATCCCATTTTAGTACCTTGATTGCTGAGTCTTTTTTGTGACAAAATATATGTAACATAAAATTGACCATTTAAGCTATTTTTAAGTGTGCAGTGAGCAGCATTAAGTTCATTCTCACTGTTGTGCAGTCATTATCATCATCCATCTCTAGAATTTTTTTCATCTTCCCAAGTTGAAAGTCCACATCATTAAAAATACCTCTCCCCTCCTCCCCACCCCTAATAAACATTGTCAGAAAATAAACTGAGGCACAATTTGAGCAAACAATGATTTATGAATTGGGCAGCTCCAAATCAGAAAAGGTTCTGGAGCTCCATGGAAGGAGTGCAAGAGGGAGACATTTTTGGACAAGGAAAGCAAAGAAACTATCAGATTGGTTACAGTTATATGGTTGCCTTATTTGACCTCTCCAATTTGAAAGTCCTTCATTATATAAGTTCGCCAGTTGCTTCTGATTGGTTGAGCTTAAGTTTTGTTTTCCTTTTGTATAGGTATTTATAAGAAATGGTTCCCATTAAGTTTCATTTTAGTTTGCCAAGCAAGCAAAAATTAGGCTAATTGTAGGCCTATTTTTATGGGACTAGCGTTTGAACTCAGGACTTCGTGCTTTTGAGGGAGGTGCCCTACCACTTGAGCCATACCTCCAGCCCAAGGCATTCTTCAGACCATTTTAACTTAACACCATGCTTCTACTTTCTGTTGCTATGACTTTGATTGTCAGTGGAAAACCATACAATGTTGTCCTCTTGTGATCGATTTATTTCACTTAGCATAATATCTTCAAGGTTTACCCGTGTTATAGCATGTGTCAGAATTCCCTTCTTTTTTAAAGGCTGATGATACTTCATTGTATGAAATGACTCACTCTGTTTATCCCTCATCTGTTGATTGATGGATATTTGAGTTCTTTCCAACTGTAATTATTGTGAATAATCTTGATATGAACTCTGGTGCATAAGATAAGGTCTGTCCACATACCTTATCTCAGTTCTTTACCGCATGTACTCAGAAGTGGAATTACCATCCCGTATGGTAAATATATGTTTATTTTTTAAAGGACCTACCATACTGTTTTTCATAATGGCTATATCATTTTACATTTCTCTACATCCTTCCCAACACGATTTTCTGGTGCCTTGTTGTGATCTTAATTTGCATTTATTTCCCTAATGATCAGTGATGTTGTATATGTTTTCATGTGCTTGCTGGTCATCTTTACATCTTCTTTGGATAAATGTTTATTCAGATCCTCTGCCCATTTTCTAATTTGGTTGTTCTTTCTCTTGTTGTTATATATTCTAAGCTATTAATCCCTTATCAGATATATGACCTGCAAATATTTTCTTCCATTCTTAATTTTTTTTATTTTTTAGGTGGTATTGGGGTTTGAACTTAGGGCCTCACTCTTGCTAGGCAGGTGCTCTATCATTTGAGCCACTCCACCAGCCTTTTTTCTCCCATTCTGT